CCCCGGAACAGCTCCCGGCTCCCCCCCTCCCGGCACTCCCGCCTCCTATCTTTTGGCCAAAATCCCGCCCAGAGGCATGTCTGCCGGGCACTGGTGCAACACCCCCCACCCACGCCCTCCGGGCTCTGAGTCCCCCGCGCCGGACTCCAGAGACGCTCCCGCCTGGCGTCCGCGGGCCGCAGAGTTTCCGCGGGCGCCCCCAGGGCCCTCCGACGGACTCTCAAAGGCCCCCAGGCCGCCCCCGCGCACAGCCGAGACACGGCGGTGCGCGAAACCCGAGCACTCACCCACCGGGAGGGGGCAGGAGGCGGCGCAGCGGGCGGCAGCGGCAGCCTGGCCTCGCGCTCGGCGCTCACGGCTGTTTTCCTCGCCCCCACTTTTCCTGGTGTACCACGGTGGGCACCGATGCAGGTCCCCCAAGCTCCGCACCTCCCTGAGGGCACCACGCTGCCCCCACCAGCAGGATCCTGGAGCGCCCGCACGGACTGACTTGGGCGCGGGACTTGAGGGTTCCTTGGCGCTGTGCACTCTTAGCAGGCGACGGCGGTGCTGCCGTAAGGGGTTCGAGCCTCGAGCTGCTGGTCAGACTTTCAGGTTAAATACGAGCGCCGCTTCGGCTTTTCTTCTGCTTCACGGTGCCTTCCTTTGCCTCTCCCCTCCTCGGTCCCCCTCTCCCTGTCCGCGCCTCGGTGGCTCCGGGTGGAAAATGCAAGGCGCGAGCAGGGGCGGCGGGAGAGCGGTGTATGCGCCGGTGCGTGTGATCAGCTGCAGAGCCGCGCTAGCCCCGCCTGTCCCTGCCTTCCCCCGCTGTTCCACCAGCCTGAATTGCACCTCCGCGCCTCAGTTGAGCCCGCAGTGTCTGACAGCTCAGGAAAAAGCGAACCCCTCCAATGAGGAGCAACCAAATCCGCTCCCAAACGCCAGCCAACTCTCCTTCCTCGCCCCCACCCCCACCCCGCATCAAGTCCGAAAGCCCCCAGCCAGCGGCAAATGCTGCACTCTCGAAGAAGTAACAATAGTGGCTGTAACTAGGACGCTCATTTAAACCGATGCGTGGATTTGGAGACGCACCATAAACAGAGAACCCAACTGGCTTCACGACAAGCCTGTTCAGAACTCAGAGTTGCAAGTAGCAGAGGGGGCCTTAGGACGGGGACAGAAAGGTAGGGAGACACTAATAGGACGACTCACAGTCCTCCCTGAAAATGGCTCTATTAGAAATGCTTGCTTAGTATGTCTACAGTTAACGTGTGGCTGCAATGGAGGGAAGAAAGCCGGATTGTAAAGGGCCAGGCCTGGCAGTTAACTTAACGGAGAGGCAAAGTGAGGAAATAGTTAATATAGCGCCCATGTTATTCACCACATTTCATGTTTGTTTTAAAATGTCATTACATCTTATGACATATTCTATTCAGCCCAGATACATAAAATTGATTTTGTTGGAAAATCATCAAATCATGGTTTATAAAAGCAAAGGGATGCTGTAAGACTCCCATGCAAATGAAAATTAGTACATAACCATTCGACCAGTTCTCTGCCAATAGGTACTCCCTTCTACCTCTAGCCCTAAACCCTAGTGCTGGTAAGCCTTGCACCTTGTCAGCCATAAGTAGAGGACTCTCATTGTCCTTTGGTCTTTCACTGTCATTTGTCATCTATCCCGAGTTACAGAGTGTTCTCCTGCAGGCTCCCTGATAAGAGGTCAGTAACTCTGTTATTCTTTAGGATTACATAAGAAGGGACAGTGACACTGTGGGACGTGGAAACTGCTGTGGGTCTGCAATCATAAGACCTGATTTGAATCCTGGCCTTGCCATTTACAAACTGTGTGACCTTGAGCAAGTAGCTAAACATCACTGAGACTCAATCTTCTGCTCTGGAAAAACTGGGGGTGTTAACATTTTCCCAATGTTGGTATGAAAAAAAAAAATAAACTATGCTTGCTGTGAAGGATGTTAGATACTGGGCTATAAAGTGGCAACAAGGCCAAGAGTTTAGGAATGAGTTTTGGGGGTTGGCCCCTTGCTGTTACTAACACATATATTCTTTTCTCACTTCTGACTACACTCTCCCTAAGACACTATGCCCTTGCCAGGCTGACACCTTCAACTCCTGAAACCCACAAGGGTACAATCCCCATGCTTGCACCTTTGCCCTGTCTGTTCCCTCCTCCTGGAGTGTTCTTGCCCTGCTGTTCCATGTTGCTGGATCCTTCATTCATTCAGCTTTCAGCCTGAATGTATCCTCCTCAGGGAGATCTTGGCTACCTCTCAGGTACCCCCATCACACCAGCTTGGTTCATCTTCATTTTACTTGTTTGTATTTTCCCAGCCACTGTCTTCTTCGGTTGTCTGTTTCTCTCCCTGCTCCATCGCGGTCCTGGCATGTAAACTCTATAGGAGCAAGAATTCTGTCTGTCTTGTTCACTGCTATGTCCCCGACACCCAGGACACCCCCGGTCGCATACTACGGCCACCAAAATATTTGTTGGATCAACAACATGTACCAATCTGCATCACTACAAACTCCACATACATTGAAACTCTGAGTAATACAGAACTAAAAGTCATCGCTAAATCAATTATATGACTTAATTAAAAGAATGTGTCCATTTTTAAAAAGTAATAGGTTCTGTGCTTGTTAGCTTTGGAACTGATATTCAATGAGCTGCCAAATCCCTTTGATTTTACCGCTGCAATAACTCTCATGATCTCCCCTCTCTTCAAAAAATGCTACTTTTTTCAAATCCCCATTTCATTTTAAGCCCCAAATCAAATTATTTTCTTGCCTTCAGTCTTTTACTCCTTCAAACTGTCCTAGATAATGTTACCAGATCTATGTCCTTAGAACCATAAGCGTAGCAGTGGAATGGAAACCAAAGAGTTCTCTGACTATTTCATTTCCAAACTTTTATGCATTCTCACTTTTCAAAAAACACTTCTCTATGAAAAACCTTTGCCATTTTCCAACAACCAAATTTATAAACAAATAACTTTATACTTCAAGAGACATGGTCTAGTCTAATCCTCTCCTTTAACAAAGAAGCAAATTGAAGCTATAAAGAGAAAATAAGTTGCTCAATGTCACAGAGTTCATGAGTGGAATCCTTGATTCCACTCCAGAATCTGGGTACTTTGCTATCCCTTACGAGATGCCTAGAAAGGAGTGTAGGATTCCTGCTTCACAGCCAGGGTCTTCTTCCACTATGTCATGCTTCTCCTATAGGTTGAGATCAAAGGTCCTCCAAAATATGGCCTACTCTGTCTTTTCAAAATTATCTCCTACCTTCCCTTTAGTGTGGGCTCTGCTCCAGCCAACCTCGACTCTTAGCAGTTCCCCAAACATACTCTATGTTAACTTCATTTGCTCAACTACATTCTTGTCACATAAGTATCCTTTTTTCTATCCCTGTAGAGTCCAAATCACCATCACTAGTGTGTAGGGAATGGATGGATTTCTTAAGCTTTTACTTCAAGTGCCACTTCCTCCATGAAGCTGTATTTTATTCTGCCAGTAACAGTAATCTATCTCGTCTCTGAACTCCCATTCCCCTAGATTGGCATTGTGGCATTTATTTCCGTACAGTCTACTCTTTATTTGAGTTCCAAATTCACCAAAATTTCCTCTATGAAATGGCAAGAACAGAGTGTCCACCTCTTAATATTTTGATACACCCAGTACTCCAGGTCTCCAGTTTTTCCTTGCTCATGGTAAATAATTAATAAAATTTTAGAGAGAACTGAAATTTGTTTAGCCCACTTTAATGTGTCAGTCAATGTGCTTGGAACTTCATAGTTTGTATTTATGTAGCTAGAACGATGGTAGAGTAGGGATTCCAAAATGTGCCCATTTCTGCTATTTTCAAGGTCCTTACCCTCTTAGAGAAACAGTACTGCCTGATAAGTTATATATTTTTCAGGAGCCCATCATGTCACACTTTAAATGTGACTGAGCCTTTAACCTGTTTGTGACATTGAGGCCAACTCCTTGAAAATGTTTAAAGATGAACCAAACTCTTCTTCCCCTGTCAGGACAGCTGCTTCCATGATGACGTTCTGGAGGGCAGCCAGCCCCACTGTGCTGAGGCCAGGCGGGATGTGTGGGGAATAGATGACAGAAGGCCACCTAATCAGGTGCTGTCTGATGAACTGAAGTAGAAATGCTGTAAACAGAACGGGTCAAAGGAAGGAGAGGCTCACAATTTTAGCCAAGGCCACAAAGCCAGAAAAATCTGGAAAATATGACTATGGAATACACGATCATTTGGAGTCTCACATTTAAAGATAGAGTGATAGATTACAAACAGACTACCATATAGTTCTTGGGGGGCGGGGAGGGGGGAAGGGGAGCCAAAGCTATATTTAACAACAAACTCGATTAAAAACAAGCTAGATACTTAATCTGCCCAGAAAGTACCTCTGGCAATATCTTATTTTCTGTGTCCAAAATTGGTAATATCATGAATAACTAGAACTTCAAAAATGAAGGATATGATTTTGTGTCTTAATACTAAAAAGGCATGACTTTGCACATGCAACTCACCCTATTATGTAACTGAACAGTGTAGGGAAGAGTATATTTAATGTAAAAGAAAAAAAAAAAAACCTGCCCCTGAGAAGTCCAAATTCTAAAAATTACTTAATCGGCCAACTGTGAAAAAAGGGAGGCTTTGAACATCTCCGTATACCTGGCGTCTGTCTTCTCACCATTCATTTATTGCCACTGTGACTCCCACCATGGGATAGTCTCATGGCCAGAGACATTAATTATACTCAGGTGAAAATGACATTATATTTCATATTCCTTTACTCCTAATCCTCTCGTTCTCCAAAGTACAATGAAGACATGGGCAGGCCTGGGGATCTGAAGTGTTTATGCTTCAAAAGGTGACACATTCCATTGCCACCATAAGTTCTGCTATATCTGGGAAGAGGTCACCCTTTGAAATTCTATATGCAATTTTTGGCAATAGAATGGTGTTACTTTTTTTTTTTTTAACCCTCCTAAAAAAAGAATACTGAAGTTATTTTCTCTCTTGCCAAAAAGAGGAGAAAAAAATGAAAAGAAGAAATCAGTTG